GTGCTAACTTGTTTACACTCGGTGCAATAGTTTGTTTGATACGAATAAAATACGAACTGAATAAACAAAGAGCACTGCTCGCTCACTTACCAAATCTGTAGAGACAGGACAATCACCAGCAACTAGAGCCGCGTCTTTATTAAGAGGAGACTAAAGCGAATCCGGATCTCAGCGTTTGCAGATGAGAACAGCTCTCAGGTAAACAATAATCCTCCTTAGACACGTAAGTTATTGTTGTCGAGCGTCGCGTACACTGTTAATCCACACGTGACTCCAGCTGAGCTCTCACAGAGAGAAAATGAAAACAAAACTTCACTGCAGCAAACTATAAAAGCAACACTTGACGCTTGTTTTGCCAACACAACGTGGCGTCTCTGTCGTCTAAACACTGTGACAGTAATGAATATTAATGAAGTTGCACAATAGAGCGCGCTGATTGGTTTGAACCAAGCCTTACTCATGCATTAATGCATCACACTGTAAGACGTAATAAGACTCACTCTGGCACAGACGTCCAGTCTGCACGCTGGAATACACGCTATTATGTCATGACCGTGACGCAGCTTCAAAAATTCGTTTCAAACCGGAAGTACGAATTTGCTTGAAATAACGCAAAAACAACCAATTTACACTTTTTAGTGAAATATAGGTGTCCTAATAGTGTTTTTAGCAGTGTGGGACACATATACCACTGTCAACAGCTCAACACATGTGTTCTGGTGTTTCGTGACCCTTTAAGTGACTTTGAGCGTGGCATGGTATGGGCCAGTATAAGAGTCTAACGGTATAAAAACCTTGGATATTAATATCATTGTTTCACAGTGTCAAGGTTTTGCAATTACTGCTCTAAATTATATTCTTTTTATATGTCTGGGTAAAAAACTCAAACTTTTCCCCCTTTGTACGCAATATATTTTAATTTGGGAAACATTTTGAATATTTTGTAAACATGCCAGGCTGAATAATTCAGATGAATCACTAGCTATGTTTCCATCCAAAAATGTGAATAAACTTTATGCGCAAATCTGGATTATCGCATAAAAGTTGTGCGAATGAAGCAGCGTTTCCATCCAACGAGTCAAAGCAAACAAAATCGTCACTTCCTAATGAACTGGCGCCAAATATCAACAGTAAAAACTGCCTTTGCTGCAGTAGGAGAAGCTGCATCAATCTTTTCTAAATGAATGCGCCTCAGTAGACAATCCTGACCTGCAGTGAGCGCGCAGCGGCGTTTGAAGGTGTCAGACGCGGAGCACAGGCGCTCTTGATTCTGGAGGTCATTAATAATATAATAACATTAATACTGAAATGGTAAGGCGTTTTATAACGACCAAAACAACATTTCAGATGTTTTATAATGTGATCAGCCTGACGTTTTATCCCTTCACACACATTTTAAGCATCATGATCTCTTTCAACCTTTTTTAATGCGCATGCTGGAGTTTGTGCGGTAAAAGTGTTTCTATCGCAGTTTATGCGCATCTTATCGAATAAAAAGTTTATCCTACCCAGTTAGGCGCATCAGTTTTTTATATGCATTTTCAAAATTTATGCGCATCATGGTGTTTCCATCAACTGTTTTTTTTTAAGCGCATTTGCAAAATGTGCATAAAATAGGTGGATGGAAACATAAGCCCCTTTCACACATACAGACCTTTCCGGAAAATTGCCGGCAATTTTCCGGAAAGGTCTGTATGTGTGAACAGGTCCTTTTTGAAAATACGGGTAAATTCGTTCTGGCTATTTTCCGGAAAGAGAAGTTGTAACATTACCGGTTATTTGCTGGAATGCTGCGCTGTGTGAATGCAGAAGGAAGATTCCCGTAATAAGCGCGTGCACGTCTAGAACGTGCTGACGTGAGGCGTCTGCTTTAGCCAATCACAACAGTCAGACGCATTTACGTCCGCGCGGTTTGTGAGGATAAAAGCCTTTGAATATTTTTCCAGACACATTTAGCTGCTAGAAGTTAGTCAGATCACGTTTATATGTTCTTCTTAATGCCAACTGTGTAAATAATCATCGATGAGATGCTTATGATAAGCCGTTGTTTGTTTACCTTCAAGCTTTGCGTGTGCCTGTGAAACAGCCTGTGAGCGCCTGCACACACACATATTATGAACATCTCGACATGCGAAAGTGATCCTGCGAAAGCTGTTCACAATATTGATCATCCACAGAGTTTGTAATTTAGTCAAATGTTTACAAACACAAGCGCAGCCGTTTAAAGCTCATTTGTGGTTAATGATGTCAGAATTTACCGATATTTTGGAATGGATGTGTGAATGCTCTTTTCCGGAAAATTTCCGTAACGTCCTCGCCTGTGTGAACAGCGCTTTTTTGAATATACCGGTAAAGTCGTTCCGGAAATTTTCCAGATATTTACCGGTATCACTGTGTGAAAGGGGCTAAAGCTACTGACTTCTGCTGTCTGCATTAGTTTAAAATACACAGATTTATTTTACAATTTAAAACGGCATCTTTGCAGATCTTTTCCGCTGGAAATACTGCTGTCCTAAAAAACAAAACAAAACAAATGTAAATAAATAAAATCTTACTCATACAGGAACGCTATTACAGAACATTTTGACGCAGTACACCTTTGAAATGGTTATGGTCCCATGGCATGTTTGTTGGTGATTACAAGAGCAAACTATTATTGTTCCTAATGACGTGCACAGATGAACTGTTCACTAGACTAGCAGTGTGAGCTAACATATTCAATAGGGCTAGTTTGGATTTCATGTGTGCTTTAATGTGTGTGTGTGTTGTGTTTCAGATGGTGTGCTGCTGCTGGCCGCCTCCAGTCTGTCGGGCCGCTGTTGGCAGGGCTCGCTCTGGATCTACAGTGACCCCAAACTGGCCCCCAGTGAGGGCTTCTGCAGGGCGGGGGTCCAGACGGAAGCCGGAGTCAGTGACGTACACTGGATATCAGATCGCGCGCTGCTGCTGGCCTCAGACTCGGGTATGAGCGTGCGCACTGTATGGTGATGTGTGTGGTTATGAGCAGTGTTGGGGAAGGTTATTTTTCAAAGTCATGGTCAGTGATGCGTTACGTTACCTGTGCGTGGCTTTTTCTGAACTGGCTGAGGCTTGATCTCCTTCAGGGCTTGCGGGGTTGTTTATTGTTTTTTTATAGAGAAGCTGTCAATTATGAAATGAAATTAAAAATCCTTAATTAATAATAAGTTGAACAAAAAACACAACAAGATAATGGATTAAAAGCATAATCCCTGGTGCCCACTTTACTCACTCTCCCCAAGATAAGAATGAGGAACCACAGATACAGGGACACTGGAGCCTTTCAGAGATCAGCTGGTATGCTTATGAGCTGACATACAACAGGTGTACCTAATAAAGTGGCCGGTGAGTGTAT